GGCTTCTTCCTGGCCAAAGAGTTTCGGTGGACGACCGCCAAGGGCGTGGATGTGTGGAATTGCCTGGGGTTCGGCCGGGTCAATGGAGGGGAATCGGGATAGGCGGAGTCGCTGCGCGAGAATCAGTCGGGCTGTTTCAGGGCTGACAGAGGCCGGGACAGCCGAGAGGGAAGAGTACAGCAAGGAGGGGGGGAGGAAGCCCCAGAAAAGTTTCATCGTGGCGGGTGTTGTTGTTGTTGCTGTTGATGAAGGGGCTGCTACGGCGGTTGCTGCTACTGTTTGGGAGAGAAGCTTGGGGGGGGGGGAGGGTTGCGGCGATGATGGGCCAAACGTCAGTACCCTTACCTACCGTAGACTAGAGTGAATCAAGCTGCGACCACCAAGATGTCGTCGGCGTTTGCCGTCCCTAGTCGCACCGCCACCGCCGCCACAGCGGGATAAGCGGCGGTAAGAGTTCCGCGTCCGCTCGCTCTCTCGCTCGCTCACATGCGAACGGATGGTAGAATAGAATAGCTGGTTAGGATTCCATGTTGCAGACTGTCAACACCGGTAATTTATCCTTTCATTCACTAGCCCAATGTTGCGTTCTCGCGCTCGCATACCTGTAGCCAAGCCTTCGTCTTCCCAGATCATTTCGCCACACTCATCCACCACAACGCCTCCATGTCGCCCTCCATTGCTACCAATACCCCCACGATTCCTCCTTCATAACATCCGTCTGGTCCCCCGCGACGGCCTCATGTTCAGGGCACAGGTCTTGCGGCGGAACTTGTCCCTCTTCAACAGAGTCCCGCACTCGCACCTCGTACGGTCGGCTGCTCGCAACAACCATGAGAATGTGACCATCCAGCGCTTTCGCATACAGAGGCCTGTCTTCAGTAGATCGTAGGTTCCCCTCCTGCCCCACTGTGGCCATGGCCCGCACATGGGCATCAAGACACCCAACTGACACATGTACAGACGCCTGGTTGGCACTCTCATTGTCACGCTTGCCTTCCATGGCCTCATACGCTACCTCGAAGTGGAAGTCGACGTGCAAGTAGTGAGCGAGGCGGAACGAAAGAGTCGTCCAGGCGGCCCAAACGACGAGAAAGCGTGGCCACAGGTGGGACAAGAAGTGCATGATGGTGACGAAGAAGAGGCCGAAGAAGTTGACAACGCATTGCTTTTCCTGCCCACCGGCCTCCCACGACCAGCACCCAAGACGTTCTACAAAGGCTCGGACCCAGAATGGCAAGAATTTAAGAGGATAGCTGCAGACAAGGGACGGGCTGAGAAGATCAGAGGTTTGAGATTGCATCACCATTCTTTGATGATACTCTGGCTAACAGCAGCCCAGTGGAACTCGTGGCCATGGTGCGCTCTCTGGTCGCCTCGATGCCGCAATGGGAAGCCAAGATTGGCAAAGTCGATCAGACCAAAGGCTCGGCCTGGGTCGAAGTCATGTTTCCAGACTGTCCGCCTAACGGGTACGAAAGACCTGGCATTGCCTTGACGGACGAGCTGAAGTGGGTTAAGGTCGTTCGGCCTGTCGAACAAGAAGACCACCACCGACTCCATCGAATACTCAAACCTACTGGGGCCGCAAATGCAGTCTCCCAAGACGTGCAGAGGAGAGCTAGTCGATTCTTGAAAGACTTCAAGGCCTACTTCGGCTGGGATGAAAAGACTACTGCGACATCTGTGCCTCTGGGCCTGCCACCCATTCCCATAAATATACTGTCTCCTTCTAGTCGTGCAGCGGCTTCGTCTGACGCCACACCGAACCCCTCAGCCACATCGTCACCACCAGATACCGCCCACCAATCTACGACTTCAGCCTCCGCCTCACCAGCGCCTGTTGGCGCTCCCTCTAGCACACTAAAATTCCTCCTCCCAGATCCCAAGACGCTCAGAATGGACCTCGCGCATTTCCGGCGAGACCTTGCAAAGGGAACCAAACCCTCAACGTTACAAAGCCCCCGCGGATCTTTCTACGTCAAGGGGATCATTGAAGTTCACGGCTCTCGGGCGCGCGTGACATTCAACACAACAGCAGTATACGACCCTAAACAGGGCAAATACATTGCCATGAATGTGGGTATATTCAACTTTAAAGAGCATCGACAGTCACCCAAGGGAGGGCCATGAATACTAGTGCTAGCTTGTGGACGGATGCATTTATGATACCCGGCGCAAACAGGAGTATAAGATGAGGGGGGAAAGGAGGGTCTTTCTGTACAATTGGGGGGTTTTTTGGTCTTGGAGAGATATGAGCGATAGGCAGACGGTGTGTCTTATGTTTCATCATTATAGCAGCTGCTGCATCTCTAGCGATGAAGAATGGATCGTTGCAAGCTTTCAGTCCCTTTTTGTGGAGAATAAGAGATCCGAAACATTACACCGCATTGGTAGCATATTCTTATACATAGCTTTCCCCCCATTTTTGCTCCATTGGGTTTTCCCGAATCAATGCCCCATCCATGTGCCATGTGCTTGGCCTACATAGTGTCTCACCAGTGCCTTCACCCCGTGAAATCATTGTACCATATGAAAAAATCCTCCTGCAATAGCAGTAGGCCTCACACTCCACAACAAACTTTTCCTGCAATTCGAATATCCGTCCAAAACTGTGTCCGAAACTGTGCATGGCTCTGATTTCGAGAAGAAAGGCTGTCTCAAGAATGCTTCTGTGGACAGATGGGAGTGTTTGCAGTGTGACTAGGCTGGGGTGTCAATACGGCTGGCTTGAACAGTTCCTATTAGTTATGGATGGTTTTTCTGCGTGTTTGGGTTGGGGGCTGTATGAACTTATGCAGAACGGTAATTTTCTCATGGAGAACGCTTTATCATGTAATGCATTCCATATCGTCCTCGCCTCATTTTGCAAATATAACCTAGAAAGTACTGAATATCGCTTTTGCTGCCTTTTTTGATGATGTTCTATTGCTGCTGGCTCGGATATTTCGGAGTGAATGTTTGGATAGGGAAGATCCTGCTGGAGACGTTGAAAACCCCCAATCACGAATCCTGATGCCTGCAGGCGAGGATATAATCATACGCCATCTGCACGAAGAGCGTTTGGGAGCAAAAAACGACGATGGGGCATATATATGTCATCTCTTTTGCTTCTTACGCTGTATAACCTGTCTTTCTTCTGCTGTTGAACTGGAGACATGTGCTGGTGAACTAACGTTTGGATGGGCCCATATTTGTTTTTGAGAATTGGACAGACACAAAGCTTGGAATCTTCAACGGAGGGGGGGGGGGGGGGAACATCCGTGGTCATGGTTCATGTCACATGTGGAAAGTGCAGGACGTTACCATTGTGGGTAGTCATCTGCCGCTTTTGCACGCGTTGGACTGGTAATGCGAGGATAACATCTGTCTGCGGAGTCCCCTTGGTCGTCACCAACCACACCTTACAAAGAACCATGTCGAAAGTTAGATTTAATCAAGTGTCTCCAAGCCAATCACAGATGTGCTGCCAGCTGTTCAAAGCAAAAGCGAAATAGGACATGATTTGTCAGATCTCCAATTGCTCGTATCCACTTATTAAGAACTGACCTTCGTATTTGAATCGTACTTGGTTTCCTGCACTTCTCACCTTCTTTTCCCCACACACCCCCACCTCAGCTTCCAAAAGAGGAGAGAGACGAGAGAGTATGAGCCAGGAAATGGTATATCGCCTACGCTATGCAAAAACCATCGTACTATCAACTTATGACGAGCTTTTCCTCCTGTTTTCTTCGTATTTGAAATTTGATGTCCATGCATTCATGTCCGGCTCGTGATGTCGATTCGCTGCGACTTGGCCCGGGTACCTACAGTATGGGCGTGATCGGTCAGGTTCCAAAAAATATGATGCAGCATCTTATGTTGTGTCTTTTTGCAAAGCATTGCTTTTGACATTGCATATCGGCACGCGACTCTGAAAACGAATGACGATAAATATATGTGAGAAGTTGGTGTGGAGACCCTGAGTACCGGTACTTATGCACCAGCAGTTATAAAAACGTGGGATCGAAAGACAAATGATCGTTTCTTTGCATGTAGACTTCACGGCTGTTTAAAAAATAGTTAGGACGAGCCATATGAGACTGTGTGCTGTCTGAAAGCGAGTCTTATTGTTGAATTGACATTTTCGCTTCAAATTAGTTTACATAGCGCAAAAAAAGTCTAATAGTGGGATTTGCTTACTCATATGTAATGTGCTAAATGCATCACCAGTCTGCATGTCAAGAGAGAGTAACAAGGAAATTGACCATCCCATCTGTTGTCCTCAAAAGTGCTTCATGATGGTTCATGTCCAGCGAGTCGTCGAAGAATTCGGTTTAAAAAAACATATCAGTATCAGCACCATGTCTTTCATGAAGAGATTTTTTTGGAAACCATCCTCACTGTGAAAAGGTCACCGAACGTCTCAAAAGGCTGGCCTTCCCTGAATTGCCATCATAACGCCAAAAAAAAAGCGCGCACTGAATTGACAGAATCCTCTTGTGCATGTGACAGCAGAAAGAGAGTAAAATGTGAGTAAGTGAAGATGTGACGTACACATGCACATTAGCACCGATTGACACGCTCTCAAACGTCATTCTAGCTGTCAATGCTAAATTCGAGCTTCAACATGGTGTCGGGTGGTCTCTTAGACTAGCAAAATGTCCGCAGCCACTAGGGAATGGCTAGAACCAGAGACGGATGATGAGACCTCTGCTGCAAATGCCAACGAGCACAAGTAAGCGGTGTGAAGTGTGTATTTCGATCTGTCTGTCAATGTGCTTGTGATCGTCACTGGAACACTGGAAAGTGTGATTTGCGCCACGCATTTTGCATTTTTGTACATGTGAAGACGCTGATTCGCTCAAGATAAGATGAAAACGAGCAGAATTGCCCGAGGAGTGTACATTGTTGAGGTCTGATGTCCTTTGGAACGTTCGGCTCTCAACATGTTCGATGGCGCGGAGTCTTCCCCTGCTTGCGATCGAAACTAAGCTCGTCTGACGGACTCTTGACAAATGGCAGAGCGTTTTCATGATCCGTCAGGCGCGGCAGTTGTGCCATTACATCAGACACTGCTGTTCCAGAAGGTCCAATGATGCAACGGCCATAAGATCCCTCAGCTCGATGAGGAAGAGGAGTCGACTCGACCGCTTAAAGTTACAGTTGCTATCTACACACTGCATACATGTGACGACGACTCGGTAGAGGTTCCTTATGGTCGGGCATGAATGACGGCACGGTTCGGGATCGGGCCACGCAATACGAGTCTGGACTATTAGGGCGACGTTGATTGGCAGATGCACAGGGATTTGTTGAAAAGTTTATGTGTGGAGATTCAAAGTGTGGGCTTCGCTGACGGACGGACGGACTGATTCTGGCTGGCAAAGTCTGCTGGGCGCCGTGGACTGAAATCTCAAGCGCTCGCTTCCTTTGGTGTTTGGCTTTGTCGATTTGAATCCACTGTGCACTGTGTATGTACAAGTGTATTATGATCAAGAGTAGGAGGCAGTGAAATGGCAGCCGTGAAACAAAGCCGATCGGCGGGGCATACATGTTCGTGTTACGGTTGGCGCCTCTCCGTGCCATGTGTCGTGGTTAGTGACTTAGTGTGGGACTAGTAGACGGTGTCCCGTTCTGGACGCTCAACCTCTGTCTTCACCTCTCCTCCCCCCCCCGCTCCGAATTCGTCTTGTTCCTGCGCTGTTCCTGCGCAAGATTTCAAACTATACAAGGATGTTTGCCACAATCGATTACCAACCGCCTCCACTCCACCAACACATGTGCTAGAAAATTATTTTACCGAGCGGGATGTGATCCTGTCATGGCTCCAGCAGCTTCGTGCCTACGGTAAAATGTCCGGCAAGCTTCGTGATTCGACAGCCGTTGGCCATTTCATTTCCACATTCGCTTGGCCGCGTAGCCCTACCCGACTCCGACGAATGATCTGACCTTCCCTGAGGCGTCGTCAGACCGGGGCTGACACGAGGATGCCGTGGCCTTACCACTCGTGTTGGTCGGAGTTGGCAGTCTTGGTCTGAAACATAGCCCAGGTGCCCAAAGCGGGAACAAAAGAAAGGTAGGCACAGTGCAATGTACAGGACAAAGGCCTAGAGCCTTTATGCGCTCGAGTGGGCCCCCGCGCCTTAGGTTTGCAAACACAGCGCCTGGTAATTTCCCATTCTCTTAAGTAGAGCGTGGAGTACGATGCAGTGAATACTTTGGTCAATCAAGTCTTTCTTTCTCGACATTTTTGTCACCCTACGCTCTCTATAGCAACCCCACAATCCTTATCTCTCAAAATGTTCAAATCAACACTCCTTTTGGCCCTGGCTGGTCTTTCTACTTTCGTTGGTGCTGTTCCTCTCCAGAGACGCAATGCAGGCAAGCGGGGTCTTGCCTTTCCCAAGGAGCACAATGGTCAACCGGGTTCCCAGTGGACTCATCAATTCGACTGGTCGGACCAGCTCTTCTGGATGTACAACTGGGAAGCAGTCATTATCGGCGATGCCATTGACCTGGAATACGTCCCTCTCCTTCACTCCAACCAGCCTTGGTGCACTGAGGGCTGGTTTGCCAACGTCGCTGCTGCACGCCAGAAATACAGAGTCACTAGCATATTAGGCTTCAACGAGCCAGACCAGGCCGGCGGCGGAGGCAGCAACATGGACGTTGGCAGCGCAGTCGCAGCCTACAAACAATTCATCAACCCATTCGGTAAAGAAGGCCTTCGCCTCGGCTCCCCCGCCGTCACAAACGGAAACGAACCCAACAAGGGCATCAACTGGCTCAAGCAATTCATGGCACAGTGCAGCGACTGCCAGGTTGACTTCGTCGTCGCCCACTACTACGCCTGGGACAAGGCCGAGGACTTCAAGAACTACCTCGAGAATTTCCACAGCACCTTCAACAAGCCCGTCTGGGTCACTGAATTCGGGGTCACCGAGGGCAACGCCGAACAATTCCTCAAGGAAGTCCTGCCTTGGATGGACAGCCAGTCCTGGATCGAGCGTTATGCGTACCACATGGTTGCCCCTGACCAAGGCGCCCAGTTCCTCATCAACGCTGCTGGAAACGCCTTGTCTGCTGCTGGACAAGTGTACGCTTCCATTTAAGATGGAGTCCCTTTGGGAGAGACACATCACGACGTCATGACTTCGCTTCTTCCGTAGACAATTTCGCACCTTCATGTGTATAGAACACGTACATTGACCATTTCGATGTCAATACAAGATCACAGTCATCTTTCACTACCGTTCTTTGTGCAATTCTTTGTGTGATTCAGTTCGTCCGCTTCACACCAATCATCAGGAATGATGATTGGTGTGGTCGGAAATGCAGCAAGTATGTTTCCCAGAACAAAGGGTGAGATTCCATCAAAGCCCGACCATGCACAATGCCCAACACACAATCACAAACGCAGCTTACCCACAACAATCATCCGACACGACTAAACCACTTTACGACTATTATAGATCATCATAGCTTGAGTAAATCCGATTTGAACGGTAGTGAAGAAATTAACAAGAGATATTACCCATTCATGTGCCCCTGAGATCAATCTGGTCATCTGTTGAAGCGAAAAGCATTCCAATCGCACATGATACTTTTAGTGGTGCTCATGATTGTGTGTAGGTGCACCCAGGGAGGTTGTGACGCTATTTTCCAAGTGTAAACGCTACTCTCTCCTAAAGAGTACCTACCTGGGTTACCAATGTGCAACAAGATCGTCATCTCCGTTAAATGCGTATACTGCCTCTAATGCTGCGATATCTTAGGCCGCGTGGTGTTAATCACACTGTATATTGATAGCCAAAACTTGCAGCTGTGCTGCTGACTATTCATCGGCTGTAGTCCCAGCGGCAAGTTGCTTACCGGTACTAGGGCCGGGGCAGTATGAGGCGCCGTCGATCAAGTCGGTTGGTTAGACGGTCTAGGTAAGCTGTAAGGTTATAGCAAGATCATGGAGGCAATGGTAGAGAAACCTGACAAAAAGTCCAGGTCAGCTGCGGCAGGCCAGACTTACAGTAAGTTAGATTTGGGTTAGTTGGGGATATGCAAGTTGGGGAACTACATTCAACTGACAGTCTCTGAACTCAACTAGTACCTTCAACCTACCAGTATTGGAAAATACTAGAAAATTACATATATCACTACATTGTACCGTACTGTATTCAACACAACCCCTTCCCGTCATCAAACCTCTCCCCAATAAGAAACAAAAAAGCCAGAAAAGCACGCTGTTATGGGAATGTTGAATCGCTGTGATTACAAAAACCTGATACACCCGTATGCAGTCATGATATCCCAATTTATTTTTCAGTCTCTCCATACGTGCAGCTACCCTTTTAACGCAGTGCTTTATTGTTAGACCAAGTGTTCACATTATGTTATCTTGAGATACAAATACTCGTGTGACCGCATTCCTCTCTCTCCGTTTCTCCACCTTTGGATTATTGAGGGAAGAGTCCCTATTTGTTGGTGAGTAATGGCTTGGTACCAC